CAACCCAAGCGCCCCCCCTCACCCACTTCCGACCGAGTGGCACGCTCACCTGGCCCAACGCGCCAAGAAACGCAGCCTGGGGAGGGGAGGTGTGTGCGTGTGTGTGTGTGTGTGTGGGGCAAGAAAACGCTTCGCCGGAGGAGTGCAAACACTGCGGCGAGAAAAGAGGAATGGGTTGGTGCAGATGGGGTCCCCCCCCCACCCCCTCGCCAACCCAAGCGCCCCCCCTCACCCACTTCCGACCGAGTGGCACGCTCACCTGGCCCAACGCGCCAAGAAACGCAGCCTGGGGAGGGGAGGTGTGTGCGTGTGTGTGTGTGTGTGGGGGGCAAGAAAACGCTTCGCCGGAGGAGTGCAAACACTGCGGCGAGAAAAGAGGAATGGGTTGGTGCAGATGGGGTGGGCAGCGCGGGATTATGGGATGCATTGACTGCAAGGGGGAGGGGAGAGGAATTCGGAGGAGTGCTGACTATGCGGAACGAACCTGGCTGTTGGCAGGAAAAGCCCCAAAGAAAAATCACGGAGGGAAGGGACAGGATGACGGGGGGGGGGGGGAAGGGGGAAAAGACATTAGGGGACAATTGTGTAAAGGGGGGCACCTATGAATGATGTTAAGTGGTTAGAGAGGAAGGAAAACAAGCATCTGGGGTGTCATGCATGCATGCACGCGTGCAATTGATTTGTGTTTCCATGCGCCCTCCCCCTTTCTCCGCCACCCGCTCCCTCATCAAAGGATGTAACCACAAGGCGTCATGCTGTTCCATCCAGATCACTTCTCTCGCTCCTCTGCTCTCCTTTCCCTTCCTCTGCGACACCATTTTCGGTGCGCAGGAGCCCTCTGCGGGCGAAACGGAGGAAGTGCAGCCAAGCACTGCGGTCAACTCCATCCCTCAACGCGCCCCGCCTCAAGTGTCTCTTTTGAACCTTCCTCATGAACGTTCCTTCATCATTTGAGATGGAGGATGCATGCAAAACGCATTTCAAAACGGCACTCGGTGGAGAAAGAAAAAAAAAAATACAACAAAAAACAAGGTGTTGCTCATCGGAACAAAGCTCGCCCCGTGGCCAGTTGCCACCACATGAATGAAATAAAAAGGCAATCAATTAGCACACAGAAAGAAAATGGCTCGAGAAAGCGTGGCGTCCCCCCCCCACCCTGCCGGGCAACTGATCTAAACACAACACACTCCTGTGGAGGGGGTGGGGGGGGGGCTCTTGATGCTTGTGGAGAAGCCCTCCCGCTTTTGATCAGTCATAATATTTCATGACTGCCACTTGTCGAAACACGACATGATATTGCGATACAGGTTCATATTGTGTTGGTGGAATGTGAACTGAGCAGCAAAATCCACCAGTTTTGAGCCATCTCAGGTTTTGTCATGAACAATGGCCTTTCGGCATGATGAAGCTCACAATGATCCACTTTGAAACCACAAGACACACGGCTGGGACCAGGCAAGATCAGACAATCAATTTAGCAATATGATTAAAAATGTTTTTTTAAAAAGGGGGGCAGGGTACTGTATAAAAGTTAGAGGAAGACACGTTCCCGCAAGTTTACATCGTTGTGCTACAGTTCCATTTCATGCTTTTTTTTGAACAGTCAATGCCAAAAGTCAGGTCTAACAAGAGTAACGTTTACCATCAAAATATAATTTGGGTTACAGCATTTCTACGTACGCTATTAATTTCTTATCAACATGACAGAAACACAAAAAATATATTTAGCCAACTGTGGCAAAAACATTTCATTCATCTGTTATGCACAAGACAGTTTTTTTTTAAAAAGTCTACACACCCCTAGCCAAGTGATATGTATCTGTGTAAAACATTTTTATTGTTATTTTTTTTTTAATGGGGTCAGGTGTGCGCTGACTCCCATTCGACATGCGCGTGACTGTCCTTTGTTGATTCTGAACACATGAAGAGGTCTTTGCTTTTGCATCCTCGCACCAATATCTCCATTTTTTTGGTTTGTTTGTTTTCAATTGTGTCGTACGGCTCAACGGTCGCATTAATAGTTGGGAAAAGTTCTGAAATGAGTTAATGCGGTCACCTGAACAGGGGTGTGGAGACTTTTAGAGCAACTGTGCATCGATGATTTCTTTCTTTATGGTTGCCATCCTCAAATTTCGTGATTATCATCTAAACATTCGACTGTTTCATCAACAATGTATTGGACTTTGAGAGCCGGGGAGCATTTTTTGTCATTATCATCCAGTCATTGGCCCGAGATATTACATGAGTGTCGATAAGACCTTCAGGGCTCCAAATGGACTGGTAACGTAGCCCATTTCAGCCCCGCAAGCCAAAACCGAGGGGCGGGAGAGCGAGACGAGCCAACGGGGGATGAAGGGGGACTTGAGAAGGAAGCAACGGTGGACCGGATGAAAGGTTAACGTCAAGGTCAAGGTGTCGCAGGTTTTCAAAGGAGTCGTTCAAACGCCACAGCAACATGCCAACATCCACCTCCAAAATTCAGTCATCTGCCTCGAAAACAGATTCATTTTCTCACTCTCCCTCGCGCATCCTTTTCAGCCACGGCATCTCAACTGCCAGGTGGGCTCATTTTGGGTGGAAGCGACTGAGGGATGGGGGATGGGGGGTGTTTCTGGGTTACCCTCAGCCTAAAAATAGCACCAGCTGTAGATTTATAATGCAGGACCAGCGAGTGAGCGTGCGAGTGCGAGTACGAGAGCGAAGGGGTGGGGAGCAAATGGAGGAAAGCGAGTCGAGAGCGTTACGGGAAAGAGGACGACGGAGGCAGTTGGCAGGGGGGAAGTGACGGAAGGAAGCGAGCGAGGGGCGTTATGAAACCAGAGACTTGACGTGAATGCGTGTGTGACATGATGCTGCGGAATGCAGAAGATGGGAGCAAGTTGGCAGAGGTGATGCCGTGTATGTGTGAGAGAGAGAGAGAGGAAGCGGAGACATTGAACTGCCAAACCGAGACTTCCTGGATGAGGTCCCAGCCAATGATGGACACTCAATCCATCCTTGTCCATGTGTGTGTGTGCTGTGATATGATTGCCCTGTCAAACGTTTCCTCCCGGGCCTTGACACCACACACAGACACACACACACACACACACACAGGCGTCAAAGCGTGCAGACTTAAGAGTGCAGGAAGCATGC